GGTTGTTGTTGTTTGTTTTTTTTTTTGTTTCTTATTATTCTTGTTTTTTGTTTTACTTTTTTTTTTTTATTTTCTTCTTTTGCCTTTCTTTGAAAATCTTGCGTCTTCTTCTGCTGCAGCTCTTGCCACTGCTACTACTACTACTACTACCACTCCTATTGCTCCTTCGCTGCTGTTCACACTTTCTTCCACCCGTCCTTTTTGCCTTTTGTTTTTATTACTATGTGTGTGTGTGTGCGTCTTTGCCTCGCACCTTTGGCTGCTCCTGAGGTGAAGGCCACACGGCAGGCGCCAGAGAAGCAGAGGAAGAAAGCGGATATCAACGGGGAGGGCACATACACACACACACACAGAGAGAGAGAGAGAGAGATTTCCTGTAGTTAAGGGCGTATTTTTGCTCTTGTGACTCCTTTGGCGGGAAACACCGGCGCGGCGGACGCACGGGTAAGGAGCAGAGGCGGAAGAAGGACAGCCAACGGGTTAGTAGCAGGCGTGTGTCTGTGTGTAACTGTGGTAGTGGCAGGAGACAACACGGACGATGCCTTCATCATCGAAGGCGAAGGAGGAGGCGGAGCTTCGCAAGATAGCCAGGCAGGCGCGGCTCTCCCGCAAGGAGGCGGCAGCGAAAGAGCGCCGACGGGTGCAGCGCGGGAGGAGTGCCGCAGAACCCACCGCTGTTGCTGCCACTGACAGCAACACACACAGACGGAGGGGCGCTCTCGTTTTGCCAGCGGAGGTGGAGGAACTTCGGCAGCGTATCTCCTCTGCACCGTCGGCATCGTCGTCGTCGTCGTCGTCGCGACGCTCTCGCCTTGAGGAGCCGCCGTACGGCATGGAGGTGCACCACAAGAAGAAGCAAATTATTGTGACAGTGACCCTGCACCACGTCCCCCCGGCACACGTGGACGTTAGCGAGACGACGGATGAGAGGCTCGTCGTTGACACGAGCAAGCACACAAAGAAGTACCGGCTGGAGTTGCCCATACCGGACGGAATGCGCGTCAACGCTGAGGAGGCGGCATGTGAGATGAACGCTGACAACGGTGTGCTGACCTGTGTGCTGCCCATCAGGGGCGACATTGCCGAGTCGCTGCAGACAGAGCGGGCAAAGATGTTGGACGACATACGGAAGCAAAAGTCCCTGAGGTTTCGCATCAGCGCCGACGGAGAGCTGAAGGTGCGTAGTCGTCAGGCTCTGCTGGCAAAGAGCGAGCGGGCACAGGCGGCCCTGATGGAGCAAAAAAAGAGGAATAAGGTGCGGGTGGAGCAGGACGCTGTCGAAGCTGAGGAAACCACCGGGGATGAGGACAAGGCGGAGGTTGCAGTCACAGCCGCAACAGGTGACGCTGGAAAAAGGAAGACGAATAAGAACAGTGCACCCGAGGAGGAGGAGGAACCGGCTAAGAAACGCAGCAAAAAAGAGACGGCCTTAGCGCTTTGCGGCGGGACGGCAAATGCGCAGGGTTTCCAGAAGGGCAGCGGCACCATCAAGAAGCAATCGGAGCGACACCCGTCACAATTAACTGGGACGAAGGCAGCTGCTGGCAGTGCATTCGACGAGGAGCACAAGAAGGCGATGGAAATCGCCAAGTCTGCCGGGAAGGCCGCACGGATGACGCTGCGGGAGAGCATCGCACAAGCCAACGCACGGCAGAAAAAGATGCAGGAGCGTATTTCTGTACGTACTTCCCGTCGCAGCTTACGGACAGAGCGGACTCAGGACTCCTTTGCCCGCATCCTAGAGGAGCAGAAGCAACAGCTGCTGGCACGTGCCGAGTTGAATGCCTCCATGGCGGCCTCAGAAAAGAAGGCGGCAGCGGACCGAAAGGAGGGAGGCAAGACCGTCACGTTTGCAGCCGTGGAAGAGTAGCGGGGCAGAAGCGCGGGAGGACACGATTGGGGGTGACACTGCGGAGTGAAGGACATCTGTTTTGGCCCCAGTGAGGGGAAGGCGTCACCGTCGTTTCTCCACAAGTGTGTGTGCTTGGCCGTTTATTTTTGGTTTGACTTAAAGAGAGAGATGAAACGAAAGAAGGAAAAGAATTCATTAAAGCACACTCAAATAGAGAAGGAGTGAGAGACTGTGTGCATATATGCCTGTCTAACGGAATAATTCTTTTGGAAGCAACTCGGGTAAGGATTCGATAAAGAGAACTAATGAGGAGCACGTGGGCGACGCACACAGGCGCTGTGCGAGCCGGGGAAGCAGCAAACATCGGGGCCAAGTCAGAAGAGGCAGGAGGGAAAGTTGCTGTAGTTTTTTTTTTTTTGTTCTTGTTGTTTTTCTCTGACGCTCTCGCTTGCATGACTGCCGTGTGTGTGTGTGTGTGCCATCGAACCGTTTCTCTTAATTTCCCCGTGTGCACCCTTCGCAGGACGGTCTCAAAAAAGGGGCGTGTTCCTGACGTGACACAATCTTCTTCCCATGATGACAACTAATAAAATGGGTTTCGTTGCTTCTGTCACTTTGGATTTACACCTCTGCCTTTTTTTTTCTTTCTTTTTTGCGCGCTTCTTTTCGTCTTTGCTCCTCTCTCACTACTTGTAGCGGCTATGCGGAGGAGGAGGCAGGTTCTGACCACCGGCACCACCGAGGTCTCCGAGGCGGAGGCGGAGCCTCAACCCCGCAGCGGAGGAATTCCTTTGGCCCATGCATGGGCCCCGTCGGACGTTATTGTCACCCTGCCGGAAGGAGGAAGCGGGGCTGATAACGACATGGAGCCCGCGCTGAAGCGGTTTAAGCTCCCAGACAAGCTGCTAACCCGCCTTGGAAGGACCCCTGAGGCCAGTGAGAGGAACACAAAGGCCGTTAGTGCGGAAAATGATCTTGCTGCGGTCATTCACTCAAAAAGAGTGGCCGCGGAAAAATATCACACGTCAGCGAATAATGATGCAGCAGGCGATGACTCGAGGCCGTTGGTTTCAGTGCGCCGGCTTTCCCGACAACCACGTCCACACGAGCAGGAGCAGCAACGCAGAGGTGCGGCAACTGCCCCGTATGAACTCTTTGGAAATAGCAACGATGATGTTATTCGCTTTGGGACGAAGTGGCGGGTGGAGGACAGTGAGTCCTCCTCGACAGGGTCCTCCTGGTCGGAGGAAAATACACAGCGCAACGCCGACACTGCGGACGCGCGCGCGGAAAAGCGAAGGAGGGAGATTGATCGCCACTTCTCCGGCTACGGGAGCGACGACCTTGACTCCTCTAGTGACTCCCTTTCAGCGGGGGAGGAGGGGGAAGAAGAAGAGATCAGTGAGGGTGAAGACACTGAACATGATGACGGGGATGAGGTAGAAGAGGATGATAATAATGGTAATGATAATAACACACCCATAAAGAATGGAGAACACGCGGGATTTGGCCTCCTCGAGCGCCGGCGCGAGCAGCAGCAACGACAAGAGCAACAACGACAGCAAGAACAGCATCAAGCAAGGAACCCGGAGACGACTTACGATGAGAAAGCAGAGTGTGTTGTGACTAATCACACCCGTGACCACCGTTACCGCTACAGTTCCATGTTTTATGAAATGCACGCTGGCCACGAGGGCGTGAGTCCGTGCCACCACACGCTTCTTTCTCTGAAAGGACCCATCACTGTCCAAGGCCCTTGTGGCATCATTGGGTTTGGCATTGGGGAGGTGGCCGTGGGTGGCTTCTTTTTGGGCAAGAAACAGGTTATGCTTTTCACTGACGCCGAGAGGGTTGTTGTAACGCCTGTGCAACGCCTAAAGAGCAAGAGTGCGGGTTTGGAGTCTTTGCCGGTGCCAATGCCAGTCTCCTGCAAGATGGCGAGCTACCCTTTTACTGTCATTCCCCCAACGGTTAGAGAAATTTGTGGGGATGCAGCAGACAATAACGATGTGGAACTGTTTGGCACGATTGATTGGGTTTGGGTTGAGGCAACCATTGCGTCGTGGCAGGGACGGTTTGCGAACAATGTACCAAATATTGTGCTGGTTGTGCAGGCATATGACCCCTGTGGCGTGCCCCCAACACGCCGGCATCGCCTTAAGGGGAAGGAGGAACATTTAACCAACGCTTTTATGGATGTCCCACGTTTCGTGGCGCGTGGGCATGATACAGGCATTGACGCGGCCTTGTTGCCGGAGGTGGTTCCCATGATTGTGAAGCAGAGCCCCGGTGCGGTGGTTGTGTTGGGCTCACAGAACATTGGCAAGTCAACACTGGCGCGGTTTCTCGCAAATGCCCTGTTTTCTCAGCATGGCATCTGCTACTGGCTGGATTTGGATCTTGGACAGCCGGAGTTTTCTCCACCTGGGGTAGTTTCCCTGTACTGCGTGCAACAGCCCCTCCTGCGCCCACGCGACACGACGAAGGTCAAGCTTGTGCAAAGTTTTTTTCTCGGCGGGTCGCGTCCGCGTTGCCCGAGAGCGACGGCGATTGCCATTGAACAAATTTGTGCCATTGCTGAGCCGTTGCAGAGACGGCACCCGGTTGTGGTGAACACGCACGGTTGGGTGCTTAGCACAGGTCGGCGCATGACGGTGGAGGCGATACGCCGACTACGGCCTAAACACATTGTTCACTTGGTGAAGGAAGGGGAGACACGCTGGGCACGCGATAGTGAGTTGCTTATGACTCCTACCAACGGCCTCAATTCGGAGGTACTGCATAAACGGTTTCTTGTGCGTCGTGCCGCGTTAGCAGGCGCTGAGGGGAAGGCCAATGACGTCATTGGACGACTTCCGTTTCCACATCCTGCTGTGAATAGACGCGAGGCTACCACCACCACCGGGTGGTGTGCGACGGTGCATACAGTAACTGTGACACGGAATGAGGGATCACCGCAGCAGTGTGCACAACCCAAGCCTTCTGCCGTTCGTTGTGCCATTTGGCAGCAGCACTTGGCACCCCTATTCCGCTACTATGAGACCTTGGAGGAGCAGCGGTGGCGGACTGATGCGACGCTGTCGCTCTTGGGAGAGGAGACTGACACAACCACGTTGTTCAAGGGCCTATTGAGGCAGTTTGACGCGATTGTGCTTGCCGACGTGGCAGATGCTCGTGAACTGACCGACGATGTGGTGTGTGCGGCGCTGGAGCACAGCGTTGTGGCGCTCTCCTTTTCTCTCTTGCCCTCTTCACCGCCTCCAGCACCCGCAGCACAGCAGGAGGAGGAGGAGACGGTACACAAGGCGTTGTCAGATAACTATCGCTGTCTCAGCGGCATGGACCAACGGATTTTTCTCTCTCCTGCTTTGGCTTCGTTGAGAGCACCGAGGCGGAGATGCTGGCCTCGGGAGCGGTGCGGATCCGTCTGCCGTACAGCCGCGGCGTTGTGCGTCAGATGCTGTCGACGGATGACGTCACGAAGCGGATTGGCGTCTCCCTCGCGTGCTCGCCGGCCGACCGCACCGACACCGCGGCGCTGGAGGCGTACTTTTAATGCGGCGATGACAGTGGAAAAGGCGGCGTCAGGTGGGGAGGGGAAGAAAGAAAGAAAAAAAGAGGCCATGAAAGGACTGAGGGAGGGGGGAAGCGAGGGCATGCACGCACACAACGGAGCGAAATATGCCTTCTCAACACTCGCCTTTTTGGTTTGTTTTGTTGTTTCCCTTTGCTCACACTGGGAGGAGGAGGCGGGAGGTGATGCCGCTCCAATATTCAGCGCCCGTTGCATGAAGCTCTCTCTCCTCCCCTCCAACAACTTCCACAAGCACCATCACAGCAACAACAACGAAAATAAGCTGAACAGTTTGTTTGCTTTGTCTCGTGTAATTCCTTTGACGCGGTTCCACAGCGCTCGCGCTCCCGCAGCTTATTCTTCTTTTTCCTTATCTATGCGATGTGAAATAACGTTGCCAATAACACCCACACACATATGTATAATATCTGAGTCCTTTTTTTTTTGTGTCTGTGAGTGTGTGTTTTGTTATTTTCTCTCCTTATGTTTTGTGCCCCCTTCAACGAGGGGGAAGAAGAGGTGGGGAGGGCATGCGTGCGTGTGCATCTCCACATTACAAGAGTTGTGTAGAACCTTCAACGCCAGATCGGCCAGCTACGTTCAATTGTGCCATGCTGGAGTCGTCGAGGCTACAACTGCAGCTGCAGGTGCCAATAGCTATGTCACTGCTGTTATATACTTTTTTGGTTTTGCTTTCCGCTACCTCGACGCACGCCTCCTCATCCATGCCTTCTGACAACGATGAGGCAGAGAAGGATGCAGGCAAAAATTCAAGCCCGGAGGTGGTGAAGGCAACATCGCTGCTGCAGAAGGATCCCGAGCTGCAGGGGAAGGCTGATCACTTTGCGGCGCCAGAGGAGTCAATACGGTCGACAGAAGCGCTGTCGCAGATAGGGGAGAGCGAGGCGGCTGTGTTTGAGCCATTGGCCCCACCTGCACCCATCAACACGATGGAGCCACAACAAACTATTCCGCAGGTAGTAGAGGGAAAAAAAGATAAGGCTCAGAATCTCACAACAGCGCGGGCACAAGCATTGATGCTGCGACATAAGGAGAATAGTGTAATGCCGTTCACAGATGGCGGGGACAAAACTGAGCCTTCTGCCTCTGCTGAGAAACCTCATGATAAAGACACAGCTGAGAAGCAGCGTCGTGTAACTCCTGCCAATGTTGTTGACCTGGAAGCCAAATTTGGTATGGGTGATACCGCTACGAATGACTTCCCTGGACCAGTGGCTGAGGATGAAATGATGGATGCGTCATCTCTGTTTCTGCCCAGCACGGTATCCCGTGTTAAACTGTCGGAGCTGTACCACAATGCTGTACTTTCCATTTACGAGGGGAACCTTTCGGCCACCCTTGAGAACATCAAAGAGGGCGCTATGCACGGTCACGGTCGTCTGCACTGGTTACTGGGCATACTATATGCGAACGGCATTGGCGTGCCGCAATCCGAGACCAAGGCAATCTTGCATTACACCTTTGCTGCATTTGAGAACATCTCTGAGGCACACATGGCACTTGGGCGCCGTTATACTGACGGAATTGGCGTCGCGAGGAGTTGTGAGGACGCCTTAATGCACTACCGCGAGGCTGCCGACGTCGTTGCTGCGAAGTACGAGGGCATGCCAGATCCCACTGAGCGGTTTGCCGAGCAAACCGCTATGGGCGTATCCAAGAAACATCAACATGATAATTCAAAGATGTTGCAGTTGCTCATGTTGCGAGCAGACGAGGGGGCCACGGACGCGCTCATTGCGCTTGGCTACGCCAATTTCATGGGAATACGTGGCGTACGTCGCAATTGGCACCAAGCACGCGTTTACTTCCTTGACGCCCTGGCCAAAGGTGATGTGGCCGCGTACGGTGCCTTGGGGAGGTTGTATGCCACAGGCGACAACACCACTAGTCCTGTGATTGAGCGAGACCTTGCGACTGCTGCGGTTTATTTTTCACAGGGCGCAAAGGAAAATGACTCCGTCTCACTTAACGGTATGGGCTACCTACACACCATTGGCTTTTTCGAAAACGAGGATGCGTCGACAACAGCGGAACGACGCCCGAACTTCGAGAAGGCAGCAGAGTTCTTTGGAGAGAGTGCGCGCCGTGGGAGCGTGGAGGGGGTATACAACCTCGGAGTCTTGCTGCTGCACGGTCGCGGGGTGCCGCAGGATCAGAACGCCGCGATGGAGCGGTTTGGAGTATCTGCGTTGCGGGGCAACCTTCTCTCCATTTGGCAACTTGCCCGCCACGAGCAGCGGCGGGGCAACTGTGATCAGGCAACGCTCCTATACAGTCGGGTGGCCATGTTCCATCCCATTTTTGATCGCGACACCGATGTGCCGTATTTCGCTCTCAGCGACACGTCGTCCTCGTTGTTGCCGTCACCAGCACTACTTGCTGCACGCACGGATAACATGCTCGTGCAGGTTCTGGAGCTACTCGCCATGGCGGAGACTGGGCACGCCGCGTCGCGGTACGATGTCGCGCAGCTGCTGGATCGACTGCCCATTATAGAGGAGACCGAGGATGAACTTGAGGACAAGATTTTTGCAAAGAGTAGCCGCCCGCCTGACCGTGCCCTGCAAGTCGGCAGGGGCGCGGTGTGGCTGCAGTGGTACCACAACGCCGTGCCGTTTGCGTCAAGTGGAAAAACTTCCCCCACTCCGCTTCCAAGAGCACGACTTCTGTCGCAGCGAGAGGCACTTAACATGCTGCGACTGCGCCTGTACGGAATGTGTGCTCACGCTGGCAACGCCGAGGCAAACCTGCGACTGGGAGATTTCTACTACCACGGTGAAAGTCAAATTGTGGGCGTGAACATGTCGAGAGCGTTGCTGCACTACGAGGCTGCCGCGGCGAAGCACAACTCCAAGGCGTATTTTAATTTGGGATTTATGTACCAACTGGGCCTTGGAGTGCCTGGACGAGAACAATTTGTTAGCGTCTGGGAGGCCCTCTACCGTATCATCACCAACACCATACTGGGGTCAGCGGAGGAAGAGGGCAGCAACGAGGGCAACGTTAGCGGCAAGTTGAGGACGGCGGGTATTCAAGGCGCTCTTCTCGCGGAGGAAATGCGGTTGTACTTGGCAAAGCGTTACTACGACCGTGCCATGGAGTTTGGCTCAAACGGAAGCGCCTTTGCAGTGAAACTGGCCCTGATAACTCTCAACCTGCAGTGGTGGTGGACGTACTTTTCACACCAGCAATACGGCTTTTCTAAGCTGCTGCAGCTGCCGATGCCGATGACGCAGGATATAGTAATGACGGCTTCTGAAATCAGCAACGTCATGACCACGGTACTGGAACCTCGGGAAGAGAGGGAAGCAATGCAACCAGAGCAACCACGGCAGCAGCAGCAGCAGCAGCAGCACAGTACGGAGTTAGGGATCCTTCCAGATGAGGGGCAGATTGAGTGGCGGTGGGACGATTACGTCTTCACGTCGAGCGCAGGGCTTCTGTTTTTGCTGTTGCTGCTCCGTCACCATGCAGCGTAATTGCGCGGCTAAAGAGGATGCATTCGAAGGGAGGGAGAGAAACACAGCGGAAAAAAATATTACAACAAAACAAAACAACAACGGGAAAAGATTCATTCAGTAACTTTGATGAAGTGAGAAACGAAAAACAGCAACAATTAAATATGGCGGAGTGAGGGAGTCAAGAAGCGCCACCTTCTTTCCCCTCTCGAGGAGCAAAACAACAAGAGGAAAAAAAAAGGGAGGAGAAGGGAGGGATGGAGGTGGAGTGGGGTGGGGTGGGGGAGAGGCACACGGTTAAATTTACATGGAACCCACTGGTGTTTCTCTTGTTGGGATGAAGGCATGTGCGCCTGCGTGCAGGAGAGAAAGAGAGAGGGATGGGATAACGTTTCGGATCTTTTGCTTGTGATGTTCACTTCTTGTTATTTTGAGAGTGCGAGATGTGTTTGTCAGTCCACGCAGGAAGTTACGTACGGTAAGGGAGTGAGTGAGAGCGTCAAGGCGGGAGTGAGAGGAGCGCGGGAGGTGGGGTTTGTGTGTGGGGTGTGTGTGGGGGGAGGGGTGTGTGGGGGGAGGGTGTGTGTGGGGGAGGGTGTGTGTGGGGGAGGGTGTGTGTGGGGGAGGGTGTGTGTGGTGGGGGAAGGGGTGTGTGGGGGGAACGACAACTAAGACCCGCATGCCCACGGGTCCACCTCTTTCTTCCCCGTATTTATCATATGTCTATTTATATATATTTATACTTGCTGCATATACGTTTTTCCTTCAAGGTTACCGCCCTACTGCGTGAGTTCCATTGCGTGTGCGGGTGCTTGGCTGTGCGTGACTGCAGCGGGGGTGGAGGCCGTGCCCCCCTTGTTCCCGCCTCATGCCGCACCAAATAAAGGCAGAGAGAAAGAAAAAGGAAGGTACACGCACCGGAGGAGAGCATGAGTTGAAACAACAACCAAAATGATGATAATGAAGAATCTATCGGAACTTGCGACAAACCATGCATTTTTCTTCCTTGCTGTTTCTTCTTTTACTCGTGTTTTCCCCACTCTGTCTCTTCTCGCTGCCTCCGCAGTATTCATCATCGCAGAGGCTAAGACTTGGCCAGGCTGATTATTACAACAAATAGCGTTGTTGCCGACGTGTCGCTGATTCATTTATGTTTCGTCGCTCCTGCCGCATTTTGTGCGCTCCTGTGGAGCGGATGGTGGAGGAGTTTGACGTTGTCATTGTGGGCGGCGGCCCCGCAGGACTATCTGCTGCCATCCGCCTGAAGCAACTTGCCGGTGATGCAAAGGATGAGTTTCGCGTTGGTCTCGTTGAGAAGGGGAGCGAGATTGGGGCGCACACGCTCTCCGGTGCCTGCATTGAGACACACGCGCTGGATGAGCTGTTGCCGGATTGGCGCAAGGCCACGGATCTGCCCACCATGACAGCTGTCACACGTGATTCCTTGTACTTTCTGAGGGATAAGGAACGGAGCATTAAATCACCCTTCCTTCCTGCAACACTGCACAACCGCCACTCCTACATCACTTCCCTCGGTTCGCTGTGCAATTGGCTAGGTGAGCGGGCTGCGGAGTTGGGAGTGGAGTTGTACCCGGGTTTTGCCGCCGCACAGCCGGTGTATGACGGTAGCGGTGCCGTACTAGAAGGGGTGCAGCTGAATGATGTGGGCATCAACAAAAAGGGTGAGCAAACACCACGGTATGAACCTGGAATGATATTCAAGGCAAAACAGACAATATTTGCTGAGGGATGCCGTGGGTCCTGCACAAAGCAGCTGGAGAAAAAGTTTGGTCTTCGAGGGGAGGGAAATTTCCAGACCTATGGGATTGGTATCAAGGAGGTGTGGGAGGTGCCAGCGGAGGCGCATCGCCCCGGTACCGTGATGCACACCATCGGGTGGCCCATCACAGACAAGGGCCATGAGAACACATACGGCGGCTCCTTCATATACCACTACGGCGATGGATTAGTTTCCCTCGGCTTTGTCGTTGGTCTGGACTACAGCAACCCCTACCTGCGACCGTACATGGAACTGCAAAAGTGGAAGACGCACAAGTTGATCTCCTCACAGCTGAAGGATGGCAAACCATTGATGTACGGCGCACGCTCCCTTGTGGAGGGCGGCTACGTCGCTTTGCCCAAGCTTCATTTCCCTGGTGGCGTTCTCGTTGGCGACTGTGCCGGATTTCTTAACCTACCGAAAATTAAAGGCACTCACACAGCGATGAAGTCTGGAATGCTCGCGGCGGAGGCGATCCACGATGAGGCCTTTACCTCGGGAAGGGAAAAGCGGGGCGGGGTGGAGTGTAAGAGCTACGACGACAGATTCCGCAGCAGTTGGCTGCACAAGGAGCTCTACGCAGTGCGCAACGTGCGGCAGGTTTTTGCTCGCAACTTTTTTGCCGGTATGTTGTACACGGGCTTCACGACAATCTTCACGCACGGTTGGGAGCCATGGACGCTCGCGCACCACCAGCCGGACCACAAGGCGCTCAAACCCGCTGCGGAGTGCACGCCGATCGACTACCCGAAACCTGACGGGAAACTCACTTTTGACCTGCTCACCAACCACAGCCGTAGCGGCACCGCACACAACGCCGATCAGCCGGTGCATCTTAAGCTGAACGATCCGTCGGTGCCGGAGAAGGTCAATCTCCCCACATACGACGGCCCTGAGGGGAAGTACTGTCCCGCGAAGGTCTACGAGTTTGTGGATGGGAAGCTCGTCATTAACGCCCAGAACTGTCTGCACTGCAAGGCGTGCGACATTAAAGATTACACGCAGAATATCAACTGGACGGTGCCGGAGGGAGGTGGCGGTCCGAACTACAGTGGGCAAATGTGAGTGTCTGTTTTTTTTTTTTTCTCTTTCCATTTGCGTTGCTTTGTGAGTTCTGGTGTGTATATATATAATGTATGCGTGCGTGTACAGGCATGCTACTTTTTTTTTTTTATTATATATATATTTTTTTTCTTGGGTTTTGGCATAATACAACGTTGGACGCGTGCCAATGGAATTGGCGGCGAGGGGAGGCTGCTTCAGCGGGTTGTCTGGCTTGTCCCTCTTCCTTCAGTTTTCTTTGCTTCCCGCTCCCCCCGCCTTGACGGCTTGGCTTCACGCGGTATTGTATTTGGGTGCCGCCGCCGCCGCCGCCTCCTGTTTAGTACAGGCATCGCTGTGGTGCGTTGTGTAGATGCGTCACTCGTGGAACAACACATTTCTCACTTTGCGTTTATCACTATGTTCCGTACATAGTGTGGGTCTTCCCTGTTGCGGTTGCCACTGTCATTGAACTAGTAATGCTAACCGTCTTCGCCACTTTCCCTCGGTCTTTTTCCTTGTGTGCATTCACTCAGGTGTGCGGGCGTGGCATTTTTTCTGAAATAATTGCGCGTGGTACTTCGACACTACCTTAATGGACAACAAGAGCAACAACAGCAGTACAACCAAAAGCGTTGCCGCTTTTGAAAGGGAGAGGGGCACTTTCGCGGCACGGAGGAAAGACTACGTGCCTTCTCCCCCGCAGCGAACACGCCCCCTTAGGCAAAAAAAAAAAAGGACTGTGGAGCGGTGTGGAGGTGTTATACCCCTCCTACACCACCCATGTCCTAAGCTGTATATTTCCGTGTGCATCGGTGTGGTTGTGTGAGGAACCTCAGCGCTTCGGGGGGGGAGGGGAGGGAAGAAAAGAAGAGGGCAAACGAAAAGCCGGGGGTGGGTGCGTTTGGCTGCGACTGACACACGCGTCCCGGCACCGAAATACTGACATTCAACAGAAACAAAAAAAAAAAGACGGCAAAACAAACGAAGATAAATGGGAAAAATAAGATAAAAAACACGAAGTTTGGGAGGGAGAGCAAACACACACACGCACACACACAGAGACCCAGACACGGGCGCAGACATACGAAAGGGAGGCACACAGCGATGGGGATAGGCCTCTCTCTTCTTCTTTCTTTTTGTTTCAACTCCCCAAGTTAGAATTTCTTTCAACTGACACTTTTTTTCGCCCCAAAAATGCAAAACAAAAAAAAAGGGGGCGAGGGGCTGTGTGGTGTGTCAGGCCGTCAAACTTCACAGGTGTGACGCATGCCTTGGTCTCTCTGTGCCTGTGTGTCGTTTTCTTCTCTCTTGTTCCTCGCCTCCTTTCCTCAAAATTACTGGTCTACTTTACGTTGCGCATACAAACATGCGTGTATCATCTATGCCGCAGCACGCGCGTGGTGTACTTCGGTGCTAGTGGATGCACCTCTATGTGCTGACCGACTCGCTCTGTGCTGCTCGAACTCTCCTCTTTACACTTTTTTTTTCTTCTCATTCCTCCCCATTTGTTCCGATACATCCGTACAGCGACGAAAAACATGAGGGAGGAGGTGACGCTTCACTGTTTCTTTGGTCTGGCTCTGCGACCTGACGGTGTGCCTGTGACTCCGCCGATGCCTGCGGGGAGCTCGCTGGTGCTCTCACACTGCGCACTGACAACCACAACTACAGGGCCTGTCACGCTGTACGTGCAGAGCCACGAACAACCCCACCGCTTTGCCCTCTGCACCCTGTCACCAAAGCACGGCATCTACTACGTCCCGCTGCAGCTTGTCTTCTCAAAGAAGGTCTCCTTTACTCTAGTGGCGGCAGGGGATAAGCTCTCAGAGGGCGACCGGGCGCCGAGGGGCAAGCGAGACGGTAAGCAAAAGAAGGGCACCACCGCTCAGGCTGCACCTGCGCAGCCGGAGCCGGCACTGCACCTGACGGGTTACTTTGAGGTTGGGGCGGACGAGCTCGATGGGGCGGCCAGCAGTGACGACGAGGTTGACTCCGGCAGTGCCGGGGGTGACTACGATGTGGGTGACTCTGCTCGCAACCACGCGACGTCGGGGGGAGGGAGGCGGCCACAGGGCGGCAGGGACGCATCGACCCCGGCGGACTCCAGCAGGAAAGGAGATACCGCTGCAAACAATAATGCGGAGACGCGCAGGAGGAAGCGGAAGAGGTGAGAGAACGATGAAAAGAGTGGCGCACACACATACAGGGTGACGCACGACATGACGTCAGCGTCCGGCGGTGCTACTGCTCTGTAATGGTTAGCACACAAGACCGAAACGAATAGGAGGCCGCGCAAGAAGGAAGAAATGCGAGTGCAAATAATGAACCAGACAACAAAAAAGAAAACAAAAAGAAACAGCTGAATAACACGGTGGATGAGTTGGCGGTGTTGCGTGCATTTATTTGATTTACTGCATATATATATATATATATATATATATATATATATAGTA